ATGCCGCGGCCACCATCCCCTGCACACACACGCCCGCCTCCCTGCACCCGCGCGTCCTTACTCTCGCTCTGTCCCCTCGTTTATTTTTTAAAATATTTTTATTGATTTCGGAGAGGAAGGGAGAAGGGAAGATAGAGTGATTGAGCGTTGACCTATGAACCAGGAGATCAGGGCACCTGCCCGGGTTGCAGGCTCGATCCCCAGGGTGGGGCGTGCAGGAGGCAGGCGGATGCATGATTCTCTCTCATCACGGATGTTTCTATCTCTCTCCCTTCTTATCTGAAGTCAATAAATATACATTTAAAAAATAATAGTAAGCCCTAACTGGTGTGGCTCAGTGGATAGAGCGTCGGCCTGCGGACTGAAGGGTCCCGAGTTCGATTCCGCTCAAGGGCATGTACCTTGGTTGTGGGCACATCCCCAGTTCGGGGTGTGCAGGAGGCAGCTGATGGATGTTTCTCTCTCATGGATGTTTCTAACTCTCTATCCCTCACCCTTCTTCTCTGTAAGAAATCAATATATTTTTTAAAATAAAAAATAATAATAGCAACCACGGCCACCCATAGGCAGCTCCCAGGTGGGTGAGAAACCAACGAATGGGAAACCCGTTATGCACAGTTTGCAGAATCGTTCACCAGAGGGCGTTCAGCTATAACGGGATCCTGGGCCTGAACCGGCTTGTATTTGCAGAACTTCTCCTCCTCCTCCTCACATCCCAAGTGCCCTAGGCACCTTGCATCCCGGGAACGGGCAGGTGGCCACTCCTCTGACCCCACTTTTATTTAAAATATATATATTTATTTTATTTTATTGTTTAAAGCAGCAGTTCTCAACCTTTGGGGGTCGAACGACCCTTTCACAGGGGTCGCCTAAGACCATCGGAAAACACATATATAATTACATATTGTTTTTGTGATTAACCACTATGCTTTTATTATGTTCAGTTTGTAACCATGAAAATACATCCTGCATATCAGATATTTACATGACGATTCATAACAGTAGCAACATGACAGTGATGAAGCAACCACGAAAATAATTTTATGGTTGGGAGTCACCACAACATGAGGAACTGTATTAAAGGGTCGCGGCATTAGGAAGGTTGAGAACCACTGGTTTAAAGTATTACAAATAGTACATTGCTGGGGTCCAACCCCAGCAGGTCCAGGGGTTCCCTATAGGTGTGGATGGAGTCGGCGAAGAATGAAGGACATGGAGGCTGCGTTCAGTTGATCAGCATAGCAAGGTTCTCCCGCCAGATTCTGTAGCCATGTTCTCTCGCTAGGTTCTCCTGCCATGTTCTGTCTAGGTTCTCCAGCCAGGTTCGGTCGCCAGGTTCTGTAGCCAGGTTCCAGCCAGGTTCTATCCAGGTTCTCCTGCCATGTTCTGTCTAGGTTCTCCAGCCAAGTTCTGTAG